GCTGCAGTTCCTGCCGCTGTAGCCGGGCGGGCAGGTGCAAGAGAACTCGTTCACACCGTCCCGGCAGGTGCCGCCGTGGGCACACGGGGAGGAGGCACAGTCGTCCACGTTGTCCTGGCAGTGCCGCCCCGAGAAACCGGCCCGGCAGCGGCACATGTAGGCGTCGCCCAGGTCCACACACTGCGCACCTGAAACACAGGGAGCAGGGGCTGTGTCCGCCGCGGCGGGACCCACAGGAGAGACCAGGACAGACAGACAGCCTGTGGCCTGAAGAGGGTTGCAGCTCAAGGCAAGGAACCCTCTGCCTCCCTCAGATCCACGGGGGAGCCGCTGGCTCCGTGACTGATGACAACGCCACTCGTGGCCCCAGAGTGGCTATGCTGTGTTGGGCGGGTGCACAACCCCGCCTGCCTCCCGGCGCCCAACAGCCGCCCAACGAGGGACCAGGTCACAGAGACAACGAGCAGCCCAGCTACGAGCCCAGGAGGGAGCAGGGTGAGAGGGGGAAGCAGGGCCGTGTCCTCACGGAGCCCGCTGCTGCTGAGAGTGGGGCATCAGGCCTCCCGGGTCCACAGGACCAGAGCGTGGCCACAGGACGGCTCACCATCCGAGCGATTGACATGCCTCCTCCATCGGGAGGCTCCCGGGGCTGTCTTAAGGGTGAAGCTCTGGAAGCTTCCAGAAAGGCCGGCCTGTCGGGGGCCTGCTGCCCTCCCTGTGAGGTGCTTAGGGTGTCCCACCCACATTTCCCTGCAGACACACCAACACAAGACGGCTACCTGGGTGACAGTGCAGGGCTGGGCTTCCCTCCAAACCAGGTGGCTGGCTGGAGGGTGGCACGCCGCCTGGGCAGCGGGGCCTGCTCCCAGGCACTCCGGGGAGGGGCGTGGGACCCAAGCGAGCTCTGTGCCCTCCCCCCTGGCTCCCCCTGCAACATCCCTACAGTGTGTCTCTGTGTTCAGATTTAAGGGCTCCGTAAGCTCAAGGTGGCTCGCAAAGCCATGGGCCTGGCCTGATGTTAAATGTGAGCCCGCGATGAGGCCTCCGTGGGCTGCCCTTACCATTGGCACAGGGCGAGGAACTGCAGGCGTCCACCTTCTTCTCGCAGTTGAAGCCGGAAAAGCCTGCGGGGCAGTGGCAGGTGTAGCCTCCCTCGGGGTTGTCGGAGCAGCGCCCCCCATTGAAGCAAGGCCCGTCCGCACAGGCCATGGCGCTCAGCTCGCAGACGCTGCCGTAGAAGCCGGGTGCACAGGTGCAGGAGAAGCCGTTCTCGAGATCCTACGTGACGGGGAAGATGAAAAGCTCCTTAAAGCTGCTCCGCAGACCCGTGGGGTCCGTGTCCAGCCAGGGCCTACACGGCGCCCGACCCATGCGCCCAGACTCACCGTGCAGCTGCCCCCATTCCTGCAGGGGCTGGGCCCGCACTCGTCCACCTCGTCCTCGCAGGTGGCCCCGGTGTACCCAGGCCGGCAGGAGCAGGTGTAGCTCCCCTGGCCCGTGTTGGTGCAGGTGGCCCCGTTCCTGCAGGGCTTGTGGTGTGTGCAGTAGTTGAGGTCTGAGGGGTGGGACAGGAAGAGGAGGGAAGTCCAAGGTCAGGCCGGGAAGTCTGCACCTTCCCAGGGAGGAGCTGGAGCCCTGGCCGCCTGCAGGGAACAGGAGGCTCACCCTGGTTGCAGAAGAGTCCCCCCCAGCCCTCCTGGCAGGTGCACTGCCAGGGCTGCTGGCAGGTGCCATGGAGACAGCCTGGGTACCGAATGCACTGGTCACAGTAGCGGCCCTGCCAGCCCACTCGGCACCTGAGGGGAGAGAGGACAGGGTCAGGGGGGCATCGACCTTTGCCCAGGGGGACAAAGCATTTCCCGCTCACAGGAAACTGCCTCCCAGCAGCACCTGCACCTGGTTCTCAAACAGACAAGAAGGGGAATCTCCTAGGACCCCCAGGGTCTGCCTCCTGGGGTCATCTGGCAGCTCCCCAGGGGATTCTAATGCACCCCAAGTCTGACCCCAAGTAAACTGTCATTTTTCAGCTGCTGTCTGTAAGTTCCCACAACCAGGGAGCCAAGCAGACTGACACGCCATGACCTTACACTTTTCCATACACATAGGGGGTAGAAACACCCGAATAACAGCCCCACCAGCTAGTCTCACGCATTTTACAAGTGATCACCTGGAGAGTCTACACACACACTCGCTGTACAAGGACAACGAGACAGAGAAAACGGCTTTTGCAGACTTACTTGCATTCCCCTGGCTTGTCACAAAACCCGTGCTGCTCATCGCATCCAGGCAGGCAGATTGCTGCAGCAAAGAAAATACCGGGTCAAGCTGCGCTCCCAGGGCCACAGGGCCGCGGCCGCACTCGCCTGGCTCCCTCTGGCCCCTGAACTAATCTCCGTCCTGCCTGGTAACCATGGACTTTACTCAGCCGGGCGGGCGAGCATTCTTCTTAACACAGCCGCTCAGGGACAAAAGATGGAGGAAGCCCCCACCCCCACCCCATCCCCTTTTCTTCTGAGAGAGGGTCAGAAGTCCTTCCCCATCTCCTCCCCCACTTCCCAATTCTATGCACAAAGCTCCACCTCTTAATACCCAGAAAGTGTGTGTGTCGATAAGGGTGGACAGCTGGTCTGCAGGGACCAGGGCAGGACAGCTGCTCCATTGTCTGCTCTCTCCCAGCAGCTGCCCCGTGCAACAATACGGCCCTCACCCGGCCCCCACCCCACACACCCCGGCGTGTACACACCACACACACACATGCACGCGCGCCCTTTCCGCCAATGGGAGCCGGCGTGCGTCCCTGCGCCTATCCCTGCCGGGATCTAATGGATGGCACGCGCGGGCTGGGGGCGGGGAGAGACTCCAGTGTTTGAATAAGAAGAAAAAAGTTTGAGTTTGTGGCTACCCCACAGTGAAGAAGAGAGAGGACAGTGGGGAAGGGAGCAGCAGGCCTGGCCCTGGGGGGCGGAGGGG